AACTTCAAACCTGAGGACTTGTACGTATCTTCCCTTTTTGCCACCCTGTGAGTTTTGAGAGGGTGGAAAGTGCATTTTTGTTTGGTGGTTTGCTTCAATTATATATACAGCATTTTGATTTTTAAAAGTCTGCTAACAGGGACCAGCAGTTGGCGTAATATCTATTCGCTGGACTCCCATATGGTCGACCGCAGTTCGAGCCCCAGACCTGGTGGCTTAAACTCATGCCGGGCACGTGTATGTGCGTGCCCAAGAACCCAAGAGGAGAATGGAGAAGGGATTGCAGCATGACAATCCCTCCTGAGGGGTGATTTCTTGCTTTCTGTCTCTCTCTGTCTTTCTGGCGAGTGCACGTACCCTGTAGCAAAAACCTCTCCAAAGGAAAACAAACAAACAAAAGGTCTGCTAACAAACTTGTGGGTAGAAGTTGAGAAAAACAAAAGTATCTTTCTTCCTAGAGCCTGTAATCCCTGAGGGTGAATTTTAAAGGAAATTATCAACAACATAAAGCTAAAAGTCTTTTTGAAGCAATGTTCAATACTTCGTAGCATCATGGGTTGGGTTGCTTTTTATGAATTGAATAATTTTTTCTTTCTTCTTTTCGATTAGTGTTGTAGGTGAGAAAACTATAATTTTAGATTGCTTTGAAAAGACTTTCAGGTCCAACAGGTGATGTGGTGGTTAAGGGTGCTGGACTCCCACATGACTGACCATGGTTCGAGTCCCAAACCTGGCGGCTTGCTTTCTCTCTCTCTCTCTCTCTCTCTCTGTCCTTTGGTCAAATTAAAATAAAGTCAAATCCAAAAAAAATTTTCCTTGTTGGCAGCAGGTGGCATGGAGGTGAAGATGCTGGATCCCATGTGGCTGACTGTGCTATTTGAGTCCTAAACCTGGTAACTTGGCAAATCACGCTGGGCATATGTGCATGCATGTCCAACATTCTGAGAGGAGACCAAAAGAAGGGATTGTGACTGGCCATCCCCCATGGGAGTGATTTCTCACTTTCCTTCTCTGTCTCTGGCTAGTGCAGGTGTTATATAGCAAAATTTAAAAAAATACACATATATGTATATTTATGTATAAAACTTGCTTTTTAACTCTGTTGCCTTTAATTTTTAGGGTGAAATAAAATCAGATATCATCATTCTTCCTGTAGATTAGGTTAGCAAGGTTTATTTTTCCAACTAGGAGACATCTTCCTATAAGCCCCTAATATGTTTGTCCCAGGAAACAAACAGAACGATTCTGCCTTAGGAAAGAAGTAATCCACAGACACTGGGTTCCCACTCTGCCCATGTTAAATACTGTGGGAGCTATGAAGTAAGTCTTAAGGTAGCAGTATAGAATTAATGAGATGGGGCGGTAAGAGGTTCTTTTCGTTTTTTCTTGTTTGGAGTGATGTGCCATTATGGAGTGTTTCCAAAGCATTCTGTTAGTTTTCATTGCTAGTGCTCTTTGTTTTTACTTGACGTAGTTTGTATAACAACTTTAGATATAACTCCCATACCATAAAATATACCCTTTAAAGTATATAACCTATGGTATTAGAATACCCAGAGTTAGACAGCTGTTACCCATATCTAACTGCAAAATATTCAATGGCTCAAAAAGAAACCACGTATCCATTAGCAGTTACTTCCCTTTTCTCCCACCACAGCGCCTGCGCATCTTTCTGTCTCTAGATCTGCCTGTTTAGACTCCTTTCACTTAGCATCATGTGTACAAAGTTCATATTGCAACATGTACTTCATTTTTATTGCTGAATACTCCATTGTATATATATATACCATGTTTTGTTTATTCATCAGCTGATAGACATTTGAGTTTTCATTTTTTGGCTATTAGGTCATTTTCTCTCCCATTAAATTTTAAAAATTAATAGAATATATTTTTACAAACAGTTTTAGACTTACAAGAAAATCGAAAAGATAGTACAGAGTTCTGATATCCTCCCCCTAACACACAATATTAATATCTTTGTTACAATTAGCAAACTGATACATTATTAAAGTCTACACAGTTTATTCAGACATCATTTGTTTTTGTTTGTTTTTACTTCACATCCTTCTTGTCTTCCAAACTCCCACACAGAGATGTGTGCCACATTCCATTCAGTAATCATGTCTCCTGAGACAGCATGTGGCTGTGACAATTTCGGATGTTCTTTGTTTCGATGGCCTTGCTGGTCAGGCCCACAAGATGCTCCTCTATTGGAATTTGATGTTTTTCTCGTATTTAAGGTTTGGGGAGGAAGGTCACAGGATGCCATGTTCCTCTCGTCCTGTCAAGGGCACACAGACACACTCTCACCATGTTTGTGAGGGCTGCCCTCCATCCTCTGGCTGAAGTGTTTGGTCATGTCTCCAGGGCGGAGTCGCTCTCTTTCCCCGTCCATACTGTGCTCTGGGAGGAAACCGCTATGTGCTGCCCACAGTAAAGGGCGGGGAGTCATGCCCTGCCTCCCTGAGGGCAGGGTCTACATACGTTACTTGGAATTCCGCCATGGAAATTTGCATCCTCACCCATTAACTTACTCACTTATTTTTATCAGTCTGAACACATGGATATTTGTCTTGTAGTTGGGGTCATAACCCAATATTACTTTATTTTGTTGCTCAGATTGTCTCAGATCTGGACCTTGGGGGCTCTTAGAGTTGTTCCCTGTGCCCCTTTGACATACCCCCACCAAGGTGCTTTTGTTTTGTCTTTGAGCAATCCTTACTTTTCTCCTTTCATTTTTAAATAACCCAAATCCCCATAGAAGCAGACTTAAAAAAAAAAGCAAAAACAAAAACAATACTCCTAACCCAAATCCCCATAGAAGCAGACTAAAAAAAAAAAAACAAAAACAAAAACAAAACCAATAAAAAAAAAAAAAAACAAAAACAAAACCAATACTCCTTCCGCCGAAAGCGGATTCCTTTGCTGGTGAGAGAAATGCACCTCACCTGCAGGGGGTAAAGGGGAAGGCACCTGAGAACAGAAGAGTGAATGAGACCTGTCCTGGCCCTCCCGGAGTTTAGTAGATCACACAAGTAGTCTCCTGGCAAATCTGGGATTCAAACACAACTCCCTTAGGCTCAAAATCTTGTTTTTTTCCCCCTGAAGGTACAAGCTAATTCAAGCTACTTGGAAGACTGAGGGCAAATAGCTACTTTTTGTTATATTTTCCCCTTAAGAACTAACTTCTGATTTTTCACAGAAAATTCATTTTCATTTTATAAATATTAACGGAAGATTCACTATGTGACCATCAATGGCATATCATTCTTTAGTGCTGCATCTTTATTAAATACCACCTCGAAAATGTTCTCCAACTAGGCAGACTTTAAATTAGGAATATATACGATTATGTCCCACTGTATGGCCACTTTAATCTCTGGGATAATTTAAATGAAGGCAACTCAAAACCCTTGTTCTTTCCAAGGTGCCTGGCAAGTGAGTTAAACAGCTGCCCTGACATAGCCTGCCTCTGATGAGGCT